CTGCTTGAGGACTTTAGATTTGAAGTCACTGGCGACTTCTTCCATGCCATCGACAATTTCACTCATTACTTTAAGCCCCTCCAGTGCAGACAAAAAGTCAGCAATTTTTTTTCTGCTGTATTTGATTTCCTCATAAAAGATGGCCCGGCTGTCAGGATGGTTCTGACTTTTAAGTGGTGACCCAATGCTGTGGATTTTGCTGAGCAGCCTTTCAAGGTCAGGAAGTTTCTTCAGGTGCTCACTGACTTCAGACATTTTAGCTGGCACTGCCAGAAGGTCCTCAACAGCATCTAAACGATCGTTGATGGATTTAGGGTTACAAAGCGGAGCACAGAGCCACTGTTTCAGGAGTCGCTTCCCAAAGGGCGTACAACAAGAATCAATCCTTTCCAACAAAGTACCTTCTGTGGTTCCGTTGGTTCCATTCTGCAGGACTTCCAAATTCATCAGGGTGACTCCATCCAGCACCATCCGCTGGTCGGTTTTGGCAAAGAAACTACCTGAATTCATAGTTTTTGCAGTATCAATATCCACAGGGACGTACTCCTCAAAGTTTGCCAGCGATAACAGCTCCTGATCGATCAGACATTTTTTGAGATAGAAGACACATCCCCCAAGAGCTGACAAAGCCAACTCACTGTTTTCACCAGGAGTTAATCCCAGCGAGTCAGTCTCTGAAGTCAGAGATTTGATTACGGAGGGCAGAGAACATCCATTTTCAGAGTTCTGCTTCTCCTTGAAATATCCCTCTTCGAGAAGGACTTTTAGTGTTTTAGATGCATTCCAGAACTGGGAACCAGAGATCAGCCCTTCCTGAATGCAAGAAACAAGCGAGCCCTTCAGTATCTTCTGGGTATCCACAGACAGGTTCCCCTTCTCGTACAGCACCTGCACAGGAGTGTAATGCGCTACTAAAGTCCTAAACCTTGAGCAGTGCCGCTCATCCGAGAACTGGCCTACGTAGAACTTCCCCACCGACGTGTCGACAAAGCACACCCCATAAACGCGCTGTCCAGAGGAGTCTTCTTTTTCCTTAACGCACAGAAGG